AGCGCACCCGCCCTATAGAAAAAACCTCTCAAAAAAAAAAAAAAAAAGAAAGAAAGAAAAGAAAACATGAAGATCCAGTTCAGAAATGACAGAGAAGAAACAGGTTACTAGGTCAGTGCTCCCTGTAATATTTTATTATGAAAATTCTCAGCATACAGAACATTGAAAGGACAGCACAAGGGTCAGCAAATAACAGCTCATAGGCCAAAATCAGCCCCTGCCTGCTTTTGTGAATAAAACTATTGGAACACAGCCATACCATTTCTTTCTGTATTGTCTGGTTCTGTGGCTGCTTTTGTGTGGCAAGGGCAGAAGTGAATACTTGGGACAGAGGCTAAGTGATCTGTAAAGCCAAAAATATTTACTATCTGGCAATTATAGAACAAGTTTGCCCACCTCTAGGGTAGTACAATGAGCACCTGTACCCTTACCACTCAGGTTTGGTATTGTTAGTGTTTGCTGTGTAAGTTTTCTGTCTAGATCTACCCCCGGACATTATTTATTAGCTGAAAATAAGCTGCAGGTCTTGTAGAACTTCTTCTCCATGGCCTTTTTCTTCCTGAAAATGCTCAGGTGGCCAAAAAAGTTCAGTGATTATCAAAAATTTTTTGTATTTTTCAATGAGCAGAGTACCAGAGCATTTCATCAGATTCTCATTTGTGTGATCCTAGACCGATTCTTATTTTTAAAAAAATTAATTTTTTTAACTTTATTTATTATCATTGTTATTATATTTTCCAGTATGATCAGAGGGAGACAGACTGAGGGAAAATGAGAAAGCAAGCCACCAGGTCCAAGACTTGAACTGTGGTCGGCCATGTGGGAGTCCAGCACCTTTAACCACCATGCCACTTGCCAGCCCCTCCCAGACTGATTCTTTTTTATTTTTTTAAATATTTGTTTATTTTTAACTTTTAATTTATTCTTCTTCTTCAATTTGGACTAGAGAGAGACAGAGAGAAAGGGAGAGTGAGAAAGCAAGCCATCAGGTTCGGGACTTGTACTGTGGTCAGCCATGTGGGAGTCCAGCACCTCCAACACCACCTGCTGGCCCCGCCCAGACTAGGTTTGTTTTGTTTTGTTTTGGGAGAGGTTAGGGCGTGTGTGCTCGCCAGACAGACAGACAGAAAGCGAGAAATCACCCCCCGGGGGGATGGCCACGCCACGATCCCTTCTCCTCCATTCTCCTCTCGGGATCTTGGGCACGTACGCACACGCGCCTGGCATGAGTTTAAGCCACCGGGTCCGGGACTTGAACTGCGGTTGACTACGTGGGAGTCCAGCGACATAGCCATTAAGCTAACTACTGGTCCCGCCAGACTGATTCTTAACACCCTGGCCCACAAAACAAAACTCACAAAGGATCTCAGTCTCTTGAAGATTTCTTCCTCTTTGCCTGGGGCCCAGGGAAAGAAAAGACTGAGAGAGCCTGCTTCTCATTTTGCCCAGTCCCTTTGGTTCTGTCTCTTCTCAGGAAGAAGACTGCCTGAGTAGCCATCAACCACTCACTTATGAGGATGTTTCTTCTCTGACACATGAGCTCATTATATTTTTGAGACAGTCCTGCAGGTTGGGTAGGAGAAGCACCGTTGTCGAGATAATGAATCAAAAGGGCAGGGTCTCCTGGTGTACCTGCAGTCAGCAGCTGGGCTTGGATCCCAGATACTCTCAGTGCTTGCTTCAGCAGGTGTCTTTCCCTCTCTGAAACTCAGTTTCCACAGTGGTGAAGGAGGATATTAATCATGCTTTTCTCTCAAATGCTTAGCATGAGACCTGTTATGCCTGTTAGACAAATGTAGTTATTTTGTAGGATTGCTGCAACAAATCACCATAAACCAAATGGCTTTGTAACAGTAGAAACTTATTATCTCACAGTTTTGAAGGATGGGAGTCTGAAGTCAGGCGTCAGCAGCACTCTTCTGCCGGCTCTGAGGGAGATTCATCACATGTCCTCTCCCTTATCTTTCCATGGCTGCAGCAATTCTTGGGTGTTCTTGGCTTGTGCGTGAATCACCTGATTTCTCCCTGTGCCTTCACAGGACCTTCTCTGTATGTCTCCGAGTCTTCACCTTTTCTGTCTCTTGAAAGGACTGTCATTGAATTTAAACTACCCTTAGTTCACATGATCTCACTGTGAGACATTTAATTTAAATATAATTGCGAAGACCCTGTTTTCACATTCACATGTACCTGGGATAGGGACATATCTTGGGAGCCACTAGACAAGTATTATTACTACAGCTACTCTTGTTTTTATAGTAATGTGATGGTAATACTGCTTGGTCTTTTATCATTATCATTGTTAGCCAGCCGTCTGGGTTTAAATACCTGCTCTGTGTGGACTTTGTGACCCTAAGAAGGGACTTTTGCTCCCTAAGCTTATTTCCATCTGGAAAAGGGAACTTGTAATAGCTCTGACCACATAGGTTGCTGTGAGGATTAAATGGGAATATGGATGGGAGTGCTTAGCCTAGGACTGGCTCAGCATAAGCATACTGTAAACCTGGCTGCTGCACTCGAAGTTCTGTACATAGTGTGTTAGATGGAGCCAAGTACAAGAGAGGGATAAAGCAGAGAGGAGTGGGGAACAAGATGGAATTTTAGATGGAATCGTCTTAGATATTGCAGGTGAGTAGGTGTTGGTTCCGTAAGACTCAAAGGGTGCTTTGCTTTTGATGCTGCTGCTGCCACCATCCTTCTTACTGTATGATGAGCCCCTCAAGGCTATAGAGTCACTCTTAGTGTTTGCCAAGTTGCTGCTGAGCGTCTTCACTCCCACTTAGCAAGGCCACTGGGGCTGCCTGTGCCCAGAGCAGTCAGAAATTCCTTACGCCTGGGATTTTTAACACTCTCCCCACCCTTTTTGTTTTCTCTTTAGCTTCGCCTCAACAGTATCAAGAAGCTGTCCACCATTGCCTTGGCCCTTGGGGTAGAGAGGACCCGAAGTGAGCTTCTGCCCTTCCTCACAGGTAATGGCTTCTATTGGATAAGCAAGAGGTCTTGTTACAGATTTAATTAATCGTTTGAAAGTGTCTGCCCTGCACTGGACACTGTGAGGTGGGGACAGGGACTTGGAGAAGTGCAGGCCTGCACTGAAAGAGTGGTCTAGATCAGGTGTTACCAACCCCTGGACCATGGACTGGCACCAGTCAGTGACCTGTTAGGAACCAAGCCACACAGCAGGAAGTTGTGTGGTGAGCAAGCCAGCGAAGCTTCATCTGTATTTATAGCCACTCCCACTTGCCTGCATTGCTGCCTGAGCTCTGCCTTCTGTCAGATCAGCTGCAGCATTAGATTCTCATAGGGATACGAACCCTGTTATGAACTGCACATGTAAAGGATCTAGGTTGTTTGTTCTCCCAGGTTCATGGAAAAATTGTCTTCCATGAAACTGATCCCTAGTGCCAAAAAGGTTGGGGAACACTGGTTCGATGATGGAGGCAGGCACTGGTGACAGGTCTGAGGGCAGATAGAAACAAATTTGAATTGGAACTTCATCAGCTAGAAGCCGGTGACGCCAGACAAGTTATTTTGACTGTTACTTACATATTTCATCTATAAAATGGGATAGTCACCCATGCTCCATAGAGTTAGTGTGAGCATGAAGTATTAATAATGGTTGCTGGACCAGCAGGTGGTGTGGTTGAGGCACTGGACTCCCACATGGCCAGCCATGATTTGAGTACCAGACCTGGTGGCTTGCTTTCTTGCTTTCTCTCTCTCTCTCTCTCTGGTGAGTACACGTTCCCTATAGCAAATGAAAAAGTAATAAAAGTAATAATAAGTAAAATGAATTATTTAAAAATTTTTATTATCTTTTTTTTTTAGGTTTGCTATAGGGCACATGTGTTCATGAGAGAGCGAGAGAGAAAGTGAGAAAGCAAGCCACAAAGTCCAGGATTTGAACCATATGGGAGTCCAGCACCTTAATCACTGTACCACTTGCTGGACCCTAAATGATTCTTCAGAAAATAATAATGGAACCAGCAGATGGCATAGTAGCTACATTGCTGGACTCCCACATAACTGACTACAGTTCGAGTCCTGGACGCGGTGGTTTGAAAAATCATTCTAGGTGCGTGTGTGTGCATGTCCAAGATCCCAGGAGGAGAAGGGATTGCAGCACATCCCTTAGGCAAAAATAAATAAATAAAATAAAATAAAATAAAATTTTAAAACTTTAAAAAATTGATAATAGGGATCAGCAGATGGCATAGTGGTTACCTTGCTGGAGTCCCATGTAGTTGACCATGGTTCGAGTCCTGGACCCGGTGGCTTAACTCAACACTGGGTGCATGTGCGTGTGTGCCCAAGATCCCAAGAGAATGGAGGAGAAGGGATAGTGGCATGGCCATCCCCCCAGAGGGTGATTTCTCACTTTTTGTCTCTCTGTCTCTGTCTTTCTGGTGAGCGCACGCTTCCTATAGCCAAAACCTCTCCAAAAAAAGAAAATAAATAATAATGATAATCTTTGCTAATACTCTATACCAAGTGCTGTTCTAGACCACTTCTTCTGACGTTAATTCTTATAGTGTTTAGAACATTGCTTATGCTCTGTAAATAGACGTCACCATCATCATTACCAAGTTAATCTTACTGCAATGCCTTACTGCAGGTAATATTGCTGTCTCCATTTTATAGATGAAGAAACTGAGGTACATAAAGAGGTGAAGTAATTCATTTACCCCAAGGTCACACAGTTGGAAGGTGACTAGGTGACTGAGAACAGATACTTATCTATTCATTCTGGTGCCAAACTCTACAGCATTGGTCAATGACTAGCAGCACAGATTGGGGATCCCAACTCCGTGATATCAAATCCAAGCTCTACCTCTTTCTAGGTGTGTAACTTTGGGCAAGATATCTCATAACTTCCTGCCTCGGATTCTGTATGGGTAAAATGAGCATAGCAGTGTAACCCATAGGAAGATGAATGAAGCAAGGTACCTCTAAAGAGCCTGGTCTGGGCTGAGCAGTTTGTGTTAGCTGTTGAACTGTTAGGCAGCACTGCTTTCTGCCATGGACTGGACCACCAATTAATCCAGACCCTCTGTCATTATTCCCTTTGTACATTACACTGAGTACTAGGTAAAGTAGTCACTGAAGCTTCAGAGTGCCTTGTCACCAATGAAACACTCTTGTATCTGAACATCTCACTTAATATTGGGGAGGAAGGAGGCTAAGATTGTTACCCTTCCCCCATTTGACAAATGGGGAAACTGAGGCGTAAAGAGGCACAGTGGCACAGTTAATGAATGAGGATTCAGACCTGTCTGACCCAGAACAGGAGTTGTTTACACATGTGATACGGAACAGAGACTCCAGACCAAGTGGTTTCCACTGGTATCTGGAGAGATTTAAAAGCTTAGGAATTCTGACAGAATGATGAAATCTGGGGCTAAGAGGGTGGCACAGCAGGATCAATATGGTGATTAAAAAGTTATTTTAATAAATTAGTTCAATTTAAAATGGTTTTTAAGGATTATTTTAATTAATTAATTAATTAAAATTGGCCAGAGTGGGACAGTGAGAGAGAGAAAGTGAGAAAGTGAGCCACCAGGTCCAGGACTCAAACTGTGGTCAGCTATGTGGGAGTCCAGGGCCCTTAACAACCACGGGCAGCCCCTAAATAAAATAATTCTTTAACAAAAACAAAAAAAAGAATCGCATCTTTTTTTATTTTTTCCCCCTTTGGAGAGGTTTTCACTATAGGGTGCGTGCACTCACCAGAAAGACAGAGAGACAGAAAGTGAGAAATCACCTCCCAGGGGGGATGACCATGCCATAATCCCTTCTCCTCCATTTTCTCAGGATCTTGGGCACACACGCACATGTGCCCGGCATGAGTTTAAGCCACTGGGTCCAGGACTCAAACCGCGGTCTACTACGTCGGAGTCCAGTGACATAGCCTTTATGCTAACTGCTGGTCCCAAGAATCGCATCTTTAAAGAAAAAAAAAAGTAGAGAAGAAAAGTTGGCGGAGTCTGGCTTTGAAACATGCAGCTTTGCTACCAACCTGTTGGGAAAAGATAGATAGGTGACTCTGCCTCTCTTAGCTTTGGTTCTCTTCTCTTCAGAGGGCTATAGAATAGCACCTGCCTCGAGGTGGTTGGGAGGATGCAGTGCTCTACACATAGCCTCATTGGTAGGTGCCATGGGAGAACTCTGTCATGAGACAGTGGAGAAAGCAGGCTGTTGAGGCTGACAGGCTGGAGTAAATAGCAGGTGGAGGCAAGGTTAACTAGGGTGACTCCCCAGGATGAGGAAAGGAAGGAGAGCCAGGGTGGTGGGTGATGGTGCGTTGGATTTTGTTGGCCTTGTGTACTAGGTGTAACGGTACAGGTTTAGTCTGGTAGATGAGGGCAGGACAGCCATTGTGGATGGCTGCTGATGGGTCAGAAGAGATGAGGTGCCTCTTTATATATTATAGAGTCACATGTAATATTGAAATAATCTGGATGGGAAGAACTGGGGGGGCAAAGTATTATAGGAGTCTTAAGATTGAGGCGGAGCAGCAAGTCAAAGTTCTTCAAGCTGCTGGAATCATGAGTTTTGTCATATTTCTCTGCTTTGGGCTTCAAGCCATTGTAAAATACTCAAAATAGCAAGCAGCCAGGTTCAGTTGGGAGTGTCTTGATTTCTTTCCTACTTTGAAAGGGTCACTCTGGATTCCAGCAGGAGACTGGATGAGTCAGGGACGAGGATGGAAGCAGGAAACCCCTTTGGGAGGTTGTGCAGTCTCCTGCCAGAGATGGTGATTGGCTCTGAGGGGTGTAGCTTCCAGACCTTTGAAGCTAGGAGGCATTCTGCAGGAGGTGCTAACACTCCCACATGGTGGGCTTTCACCAGCATGGCTTAGCCACAGAGTCTGGACTGGAGAGCAAATTGGATGAGGGTTGAAGCTGTGGATAAATATAAGGTTTCCAGGAGTTAGAAAAAGAGAACAGGGAGTGTGACTTAAACTGTGTTCAGAGGAAGCCAAGGAAACTGAGGCTGGGAAGGAGTCCAAGAACATGGAGTGGCCAGATGCACATTTGTGAGAATTTACTGAAGGAAGAGGTGCTAACCCCTGTGGCAGGCCTCGTGCCAAGCTCTTCCCAGAAGCATGCGTATCGCTTCAGTCTCAGAACTGGCTTATGATGTGATTTGGGGTATGAGAAAACAGGGTCAGTGAGGTAAGGTGAGTTGCTATACAGCCAGCTAATAGTAGAGCAGGATTTGAGCCCACCGTAAAATGAAGATTGCAGTAATAGCTACGCAGGTGAGAGGGTTGTGGTGAGGAAGTGACCCAGAAGTTGAACCACTACTTTACTTTGGCTCTCATCCCATTGGCCAGAGCACGGTCACGTGTCCATGCTAGCTTCATGGCAGCCTGGGAAATGTGTCTGACTGGATTGCTGTATGTTCAGCTTACCTCAGGAGGTTTAAATGTTACTAGATGACAAGGATGTTAGCATCTTCTGATACCGAGATCAGCCACTTGAGAGTCCAGTACCTTAACTACTACTCTACCTGCAGGGCATGCAAAGCAAGATTTAAAAGCTGCCATTTGCCATGTTCTGCACTTTATCCACAGTGCTAATTGCCTGTCACCATAACCCTCACTGAGAGGGAGAGATGATCAGCACCGTTTTCACATGCAGAAAGTGGGGCACAGAGAGGTGATAACACTCACCTAGTACCCACATCTAGCAAAGAGCAGAAGCGGGACTTGAGGGGCTGTCAGTTGACCTAAGCCTGTGCCTTGATCTCCATGCTCACCCAGGTAGAGGGTGGACGGATCGATGCTCTACTCTGAGGAAGCAGACTAGAGCCCACTTGTTCAGGCTTGGGATGCTGCAGGGCTGGGGTCAGGCTAACAGTTTGTCTTGGTCCCACAGACACCATCTACGATGAGGATGAAGTCCTCTTGGCCCTGGCGGAACAGCTTGGGACTTTCACCACTCTGGTTGGAGGCCCAGAATATGTGCACTGCCTGCTGGTAAGTCTGAAAGTGGGCAGGTCCATTTGAACTAGGGGTATAGGGGCAGGCAGGGGAGAAGAATGTAGGAGAGGCTGGGATCATCTGAGAATAGGTGGGCCTTGGAATTTGCTGTCATCCAACAATTCAGGAGTTGCATTTACCTCAGTAATACTGAAAATGCAGCTGTCAGCTTTACTGTTACGAGACACCCCCGAGGCAGGCACGTAGGCCTTTGCATTTGGAGTCAGGCTGTATTCTACCTCTTAGTCGTTGTGTGACTTTTTAAGACTTACTTAAGTTCTGTGTGCTATACTTTTTTCCTAAAATGGAGGTCATTAAAACCTCCCTTTGTAATCGACTTTAAGACCTATAACACATTTCTTGGTACACGGTAAGGACAGTTGTTAGCTCCTGCCATCAATGTTGGCATTATGGCATCATGTCCACTGTTTGGGGCAGAAGAGCTTTCTTTTTGATAGAGTCACCTAGAGCTCCATGAGATTCAGGATTCCACATGATTAGTGAGTGGCAGAGCTGGGGTTCCCACCCCACTGCCTGGCTGTGCGAGAAATGGCTGGGGACACAAACATAGATCAAATATTAACAGTAACTGCTCTTTGGGAGAAGATAAGGGAGGACTCCTGTTTGTTTTGTTTTGTTTTGTTTTTAAGTTTTGTTATAGGGTGTGTGTATGCACCAGAAGGACAGAGAGAGAAGGAAAGTGAGAAATCAGTCCCCAGGAAGGATGGTCGTGCCACAATCCATTCTCCTCTCAGGATTTTAGACATATATACATACACATCTGGCCTGATTTTCTTTTTTTTTCTTTTCAAGATTTATTTAATTTTATTTATTCATACATTTATTTAAAACCAGAGAAAGATACAGGGGATAGGAAGGGAGAGTGAGAAAGCAAGCCACCAGGCCCAGGACTCAAATCGTGGTCAGCTGTGTGGGAATGTCCAGCATCCCAACCACCACACCACCTGTTGATCCCCCCAGCATGATTTTTAAAAATTACTTATTTGATTTTATGTATTCATTCATTTATTTTAATTTGACCAGAGAGAGAGAAAGTAAGAAAGCAAGCCACCAGGTTCAGGACTTGAACTGTGATCAGCCACATGGGCGTGTCCAGTGCCTTAACCACCATGCCACCTTCTGGTCTCCCTACCCCCTGCATGATTTTCAAGCCACCAACTCCAGGACTTGAAGTCTAAGGAAACTTAGGTCAACACATAGCAAAATGATTATGTCCTTGGACATCTCTGGACTTCCACTTGGCCGACCACAGTTTGAGTCTCAGATTGGTGGCTTGAAACTCAGCACCGGGCATGTATGCATGCATGCCCAAAATCTCAAGAGGAGAATGAAGGAGAAGGGATTGTAGCGTGGCCATCTCCCCTGGGGAGTGAGTGCTCACTTTCTGTCTCTCTGGTGAGTGCATGCACCCTATAGCAAAATTATCTCCCAAAAAAGTGTATAAGGAAACTTGATAATTACCATTAAGTCCTGCTATCTTTTTTTTTTTTTTTGGAGAGATTTTCACCGTAGGGCGCGTGTGCTCGCCAGACAGAGAGAGACATAGAGACAGAAAGTGAGAAATCACCCCCCAGGGGGGATGGTCACGCCGCAATCCCTTCTCCTCCATTCTCCTCTCGGGATCTTGGGCACGCACGCACACGCGCCCGGCGTGAGTTTTAAGCCACCGGGTCCAGGACACGAACTGTGGTCGACTACGTGGGAGTCCAGCGACATAGCCATTACGTTAACTGCTGGTTCCCCAAGTCCTGCTATCTTAGCATTAGTTCGTGCATATAGCACACAGAAAGCTGTATGTAAATGAGATCATTGCATACATCTTAACATAGGCTTCACACAAGGGGCATGAGGTTTGCGAATCAGCTGAAAAGAGCCTCTGAAGTTCCATGAGACTGAGACTGTCTCTAGCCCTGGTATTTGTCAGAATCTCTAAGTAGAGAATTCATAGTTTTCAGCATTTTCTCAAAGTATTTTGGAGCAGAAAACACCATTAGGAATCCCAGGACTCTGACAGGAGCCCAAGGCCTGTACCAGGGATCCTCCTCCTCCTACCAGATCAGGATCTGTTCACAGAACATTCTCGGTGAGGGAAAAGCCAGCTAACTCCCACTTAGAGTTGTGCACTGGTCTTGGCTGATTTCATAGGTGGGAAAGCGAAAGCACGGGCTGGTTTAAGTAAATCACCCAAGCTGGGTCTAGGCAGATCCAAATTTCAACCCAGGCTCCTGATTCTTTTTTTTTTCTTAGAGAAATCTGTGCTATAGGGCATTTATGCTCGCTGGAGAGACAGAGACACACACACACACAGATAGTGAGAAATCACCTCCCCGGGGGAGATGGCAATGCCACAATCCCTTCTCTGTGCGGTGCATGTGTTTCAAGTCTCTGGTCCGAGATAAACTACAGCTGACCATGTGGGAGTCCAGCGATGTAACCACTTTGCCATCTGCTGGTCCCCAGGCTACTGATTCTTAACCACTCTTCTGTAAAGAATTGTAAAGTTCTGCAAACTTGGTTGCTACACAAGGTGATCAGAGCTATAAACAAGACAGGCAGAGAGTGGGGGTGGTTAGGTTGGGGGCCTCACAGCCCAGAAGAGGCACTTAACCTCTGGTTAGAAGAGATATAATAAAAGTACACAAGATTTTAAGAGGTTTACATCTCTCCCCCTCTCCAGCATGGTCTCCAGGTTTGAGAACCTGTGTCTTCTGTGGAGTTTACAGAGCATCCTCATAGCAGTGAGTCTTCACTCTGCAGAAGTATTACTTGGGTTTTGGGGTTTTTTTTTCCCTCTTTTTTTTCAAGTTTATTCATATTTTGATATAGAAATAGACAGAGCCTTGACATGCTATGACCTCCCCCAACACACACACCTTCCAGCCAGCCGGGACCACAGATGCACCTGGCATGTTCAGTTTGGCCAGGGATCTGAACCTGGGACCTTCCTATATGGCTCCAGTATTGTGCAGTAGTGCCCTATCAACTTGCCCAAGCCCCCAGGGTTTCTGGTTCTTTGGGTCCATGCTGGGATAGGCCTCCTGAGTGACCTTGCTGTGGGTGGTCTAGGGGCCATACTTATAGAGCCATTCCCTGGAGTAATCCATGTGATAAAACCATGATTCAGCCTCAGCCCTTAGACCTCCTTTATAAGGACAGATTACTGTAAATTCCAGCTACAGTCATCTGACAAGTGTGGATCAGGCACCTCCTGTGTGCCAGCCTGGGTAGCAGGAAACATGTGATAAGCCAGAACAGAGGTAGATTTAGTCCCTGCTGTGCCCAATAGCAACATCTAAAGCCACTCCATGAGACCATCCTGAACTGAAACCTCATAATAGCATGAGCTCCTTTGGCAAAGCCTCCTTGTTGGTGGCCTGCCGACTCATGTAGGTTTTCTTTTGAATCATTTATTGCCAACCTTTGTAATACATTTTTAAATTTTGAAATTTGTGGAGTTTATTTTCTATGATGAAGGGGTGGGGAGAGAGAAATAAAGATTGCACCCAACAGAGTTGTGATGCCATGATCCACCCCCAGCTCTCCCTAGCCCCAGATCATGGTCTCACCTCTGTGGGTCTCACCCCCAGATCATGGGGTCATGAGTGCTGGCATCCTCAGGGTCTTCAGCAAAAACCTTGAACCTCAGCCTCACAAGCATGTCAAGTTTTAACCATCCCACTTTCTGTCCCATCCACTCTTTTTAAAATAAGTTCTAACTTTTTTTTAATTCTCTTTTTGTTTTTCATTTTTTAAATTCTCGTAAAACTTATAATTTAATCATTTTTAGTGTGTAATTCCATGACCTTAAGTTTGTTTACATTGTTGTGTAGCCATCATAGCCATTCATCTTGAGAACTTTTTGTTTTAGAGAGATTTTTGCTATAGGGCATGTGCACTCACCTGAGAGACAGAGAGACAGAAAGCGAGAAATCACCCCCTGGGGGTTGGCACAGTTCCTTCTTCTCCAGTCTCTTGGGTCCAGGACTCAAACCACAGTCAACCATGTGGGAGTCCAGCAATGTAACTATCACTCCATCAGCTGGTTCCCCGGATCGTGGGAACTTTTTAAAATTATTTTATTTCTTCCATAAGTGAGACACAGAAAGAAAGGGAGAGACAGAGAGATAACACCCCCAACAGAGTTCGCGCGCCATAATCCACCCGCAGCCTGCCCCAGATCATGCACGTGCATGTGCCTGGCATATGTAGGGAAGTCTCTGGACACAAACCAGAACCTTCCCATGTGGATTGGCCTCACCGAGCATCATATTTTATAGCTGTGCCACTATCCGGCCCCAAACCAAAACTCCACACCCACTAAACATTTAGCTCTCCATTTGCTGTGTGTCCTCCCACCAATCCCCAGTAATCCCCAGTTTGTCTATTCCAGGTCCTCACGTAAATGTAGTCATAAAATATACGTGATTTTGTGGCTATTGACTTATTGCACTTAGTATAATGTTTTCAGGATTCATCCATGTTGTAGCATGTGTGAAATAATTTTCACGTATGAGACTGGAGTTTTGCCTTCTTTTGGAAAACCAGATTTGCTATTTGTTTATTTAAGCTTTGCTACAGGGAGTGTGCACTCACCAGAGAGAGAAATCACCTCCTAGAGGGTATGGCCATGCCACAGTTCCTTTTCCATCCTCCTCGTGGGGTTTTGGGCCTGCCACATGCATGTGCTCAGTGTGATTTTTAAGCTGCCAGGTCCAGAACTCGACCTACTCTCTCAGCCATGTGGGATCTAGCACCTTAACCTCCACCCCACTTGGTGGCCCCAGATTTGCTTTTTGTAGCTGTGCTTCCTCATGGTGACAGTTGATGGTGCTGAGAAGCAGCTGTCCTCCATGGGACTGTCCAGTTTATTGTAGTTCCTGCCTCTCTATGTTGTCCATCCCCATCTACCTTCCCCACCCTGCACCTTTGCTCAGTGTTTAATTGTGCTCTGACCTGCCCGAGCCCTGGAGGCATTTCTGTTTGATTTCTTTCTACTTTAAGTACTTCATTTGGATTTCAGACCAGGAACCTCCACACATTTATTTGAGTATAGTAGGATAAATTGAGTCTCTCTTTTTTAGGTCAGTAATTACTGAGTTTCTACCCTGTGCTAGGAATGCTGCTGGGCTCTGGGGACACAACGGGGAACTGGTCAGCTGTCCCTAAAGGAACACAACCACTGCAGGGCCCCGTAGTGACCTCTGAGCAGTCGTGAGCCCCAGGACTCCACTGATATGAGATACTGGTTCAGTCTCAGACTGAGAAACAGAGTGTTATTTTCCACTGGAATCTCTAGAACCAGGTGGCCTTGTTTTAAGTCCTGGTGTGAAGTTGTTCCTTGTGAGCAAGTTGCTCGGCCTGTCTGTGCCTTTAAAACGCAGATAGTAACAGGACTTGCTGCATAGGGACCAGTGAGGTAGAACAAGCACACCCAGAGTTGTGTCATGTGGCAGTGCTGCTTTGAACACATAGTAGGTGGATGTTCCGGTCACTGTCAGTGGCAGGTGTTGGGCCTTGAGAGGCTAAAAGACAGGTGTGGGCCTCCACCCCGGCTTAGGAAGTAGCATGTATAATTTTAAGGTTCATGGATCCTGGCAAAGCTCCTTCAGGAACTCCTGAGTAAGGACCTTCATTGGAAGGTCACTGGATGAAGGCCAGGATTGGGGGAATGATCAGAGGGGTTTTCTCAGAGGAGATGAGCTCATGGGGGGCACTGGATGGGCCTCCAGAGCTGGGATGGTAGGGAGGGAGCTGCCTGGTGACCTTGTGTTCTCGCCACAGCCACCCCTGGAGTCGCTGGCCACGGTGGAGGAAACAGTGGTACGGGACAAGGCTGTGGAGTCCTTGCGGGCCATCTCTCATGAGCACTCGCCCTCTGACCTGGAGGCTCATTTCGTGCCGCTGGTGAAGCGGCTGGCGGGTGGTGACTGGTTCACATCCCGCACCTCGGCCTGCGGCCTCTTCTCCGTCTGCTACCCCCGGGTGTCCAGTGCCGTCAAGGCAGAACTTCGACAGTGAGTCCCCAGCCTCCATTCCCCTTGGAAGCACCAACCTTGCCTCCCAGTTTGGTCCCCTTCTTGAAAGTCTCAGTCCCCTTTAGGTCTTCCTTGGTCTCAAATGCCCCAAACTCTCCAAGCACCCACTCCTGCCTTCTTAGCATCAGAGAGGCCATGTGTGGGCCAACAGGTAGTGTGGTAGTTCCTACATGGCTCACTCTGCAGTTTAAGTCTCAGACGCTGTGGCTTAAAAATCAAACTGGGTGCGTGTTCGTGTGTGTTCAAAATTCTGAGAGATAGAAAAGGAGGGATTGCCATATAACCAACCCCAAAGCCGGGAGGGGCGGTGATGTCTCACTTTCCCTTGCTCTCTGTCTCACATTTTCTGGCGAGCATACACGCCCAGCTGCAAAAATCTAGGCAAAATAAAAACACAGAGGCCATGTGTATGAGCATGTGACCTCAGGACATGGCTGGGTATGAATCTACCCTGCTCTGCCTCTCACTCATTTTGGAAATGAGATATCATCTCATTTTCCCAAAGTCACCTAGCCAAAGCCAGGACCCAAGTTCTTTCCTCCTGCTAGTTATTGTGAAAATTTAAACAAATTACCACATACAAAGTGTTTGGAACAAAATCTGACACATTAAAGTACTTAACAAACGTCTGGTGTTATTTCTGGCCTGTCCTTGGTCCAGAATCTTCAGCTCCTATACCCTCTCAGCTTTTCAGCTGCTGCCACCTTCACAATTCCCTAAACTATTGAGCATCAAGCCGAGGCCCTGAGCTAAGTGTTACTCACTGCAGAATACTACCTTACAGCTGTACACACATGCCCAGATAACTGCACTAACTCCCACACAAGCTGAAGCATTTGCGGCTGAAAAGAAAACCCTGTAGGGTCCCAGAATACCATCTTAATTAAGCATTGTATATGGTCATAACGCAGTCGTCATCACCTACTGTTGACTTTGTTCAGCGTGCGCACAGACTATCCAACGCCTCACACACGTTATCTCACTGAAGCCTCAACGGTGACTCTGTGGGGTAAACACTTACCATCAAGCTCTCATTTTGGAGGGCTGAGACATCTCAGGAAAGGGTTTCCACTTTCCCACAGTCACCTAGCCAAAGCCAGGACCCAAGAGACTACAGAGTCTGCGGTCACTCCTCGTGGCCATACTGCCTCCAGATCCCTAGGGGTACTTCCTGAACCCAGCCTTGGCCCCCAGGTACTTCCGGAACCTGTGCTCAGATGACACCCCCATGGTGCGGCGGGCCGCAGCCTCCAAGCTAGGGGAATTCGCCAAAGTGCTGGAGCTAGACAATGTCAAGAGCGAGATCATCCCCATGTTCTCCAACCTGGCCTCTGACGAGCAGGTGGGTTCCTTTTGCTGGCTTTCCCGCCACTCCCTCCTTCTGGTGGCCCCTATACCTGCCTAAAGGGATCCCAGAGCTCAGTGGGGCCTCTGGGGCCGTCTCCCTGCTCCTGTCCCCTTCCCAGGACTCGGTACGGCTGCTGGCAGTGGAGGCATGCGTGAACATTGCTCAGCTCCTGCCCCAGGAGGATCTGGAGGCCCTGGTGATGCCCACCCTGCGCCAGGCTGCAGAGGACAAGTCCTGGCGTGTCCGATACATGGTGGCAGACAAGTTCACAGAGGTGAGTGAGGACCATTGACATTGTCTCTCAGGTGGGCAAACACAGGCCTTAAGGGAAGGGGCAGGGCCTATAATGTGTCGGAGCTCTGGCTTTTCATTGGGCCAGTGGAACCATCAGGTATTTAAGCGATAAGATCTCTGCAGTCATCTCATTGAGTCTCACTATACTTAACGCTTCCTGCTAGTGGATGTGGCAACTTGAAGTGCTCTGTGGAGAAGGAGTCTAAGGCCAGACCTTGTGGAAGAGAGAGCCACAGAAACAGAGAAGGGAAGTACATCTGAGGTGTTCCTGACCTAATTGATCAAAAGGGAGGACAACACCAGCCAGGCAGAACAAGGACAAGACCCGAGATCTGTGACTTTGCCAGAATGATGCTCTTTCCACGGGATGCAGTTTTCCTTCTGCCAACATGTTTGTTGAGCATCAGCTAACTACTGGGTTTGTGGGGTAGGCAATGAATCTGGCATATTTCCGTCCTTCGAGGGGTAGGCAGTCTAAAGGGGACAGCCAGTTTAGATCAAGGGAAATGCAGTAATACTTCATTATAAGTATAGGACAGAGAGATCTGTGTAGGATCTGGAATCATTGAAGAGGAGTCGTGCTACAGCTGGCTCTAGAAGATGTGTGGATGAGAGCTGGCACTAAAACTGTTCCAGCAAGAGATCAGAGAACCCCGGGAGGTGAGACTGATTGTAGGCGGGAACATCCAGGGCTGGATCTTGGGGGCTGCTCTAGACAAGGCTGGAGATGCAGGCAGGCTCCAGTCAGAGGCCGCCTGCCGCCGCTCCTCACAGTTCCCTTTCCCTGAAGTTATACTTATCCACTGATAATTTGCTAGAAGGACTCAGCCTCAGGACACTATTTCCCTACGCCACCTGATTCCCTGTGAGAATGGTAGAAAACCTGGATGTGCCTGGGAAGCCTGCACAGCAAAGAAACGTTCTCCATTCCCCCCATTTTTGTCTCTCAAACAACAGAAACGACTCTCACTGTGTTTTAGAGTGAAAGTTCCATGAGGGCAGGAATTATTTTAGGCTGTTAAACAGCTCTTGGCACACAGTCAGCCTTCACTAAATACTTGCAATAAAAGTTAACATTTGCCCGAGATAACATGAGGCCCTTCAAGGTGTTTACTTGTTAATTCCCTTCTTAGTAATGAACGTCCTACTTTCCACTAATGCTTTTTTAAGAATCCTCTTTGCATGGAAATGGTATTATGAGACAGATAGGATGTGCCTTGTTCCCACTCAGTCTTTATTTTCTTATAACTAAAAGAGTAACGAATGTTTCTGATAACCAGTCCTGAAACATAAAGAGGTACGGGCTGGGTCTCAATCTCTTTCTGTCTTCCTCATAGAGGAAATAAATTTATTTATTTATATATACATATGCATATATATATATACACACACACACACACACATATATACACATACACACATACATATATATACATTTAAAATGGGAGCCACTATCATTAGAATGTTTTTCAGTCAGGTAATGAAAACTCAGTCCAAAATAGCCTGAACAGTAGGAAATCTGTTCATTTTTTTTATGAGCGAGCATGCATCCAAGCCAGGGGTGGGGGAAGGTATTTTTGACAGGGTCTTATCACATTCCTCCTGCTTTGGACTCCAGTTAGCTGGAACCATGGGACATGGTTGTTGAACAGCAGCTGGGCTTTTCAGGTAGGGCCAGGACTAGAACCCAGGCCTTCCATGTTGCTTTAGCCACCATAAGGTAACATCTTCACACTGTCACCATGACTGAGCTGAGATCTTTACTTTTAATGCAGACAATAGCACTGTGAGGTAGGTGCCCTTGGCATCTTGGTTTTGCTTCTGAGGGAAACAAGACTCAAGAGAAGTGAAGATCCTCACCGATGGCCGTGTCAGGGCACTGAGATCTGATCTCAGCAGCAATCGCAAGGCCCGTGCTCTGACCCCCTCATTCTGGTATCTTCATTTGACTTTGGCACCATTAGCCCCAAGTACCTCCCACACCTCTCACTCTCCCCAACCCCCTTCTCTCTCTCTGCAGCTCCAGAAAGCAGTGGGGCCTGAGATCACTAAGACGGATCTGGTCCCTGCCTTCCAGAACCTGATGAAGGATTGTGAGGCCGAGGTGAGGGCCGCAGCCTCCCACAAGGTCAAAGGTTGGTGCTAGCAGCTAGAACACAGTGGGGCAGGTGGGAGTTCAGGGGCCAGAAGTGGAAGCTGGGCATCGGGTTCACTTTACCCAACCTCTCCCCACCTGTAGAGTTCTGTGAAAATCTCTCAGCCGACTGTCGGGAGAATGTGATCATGACGCAGATCCTGCCCTGCATCAAGGTAACGGGGAGTTTGCTGGGAGGAATGGAGATCTGAGCCTGCCATAGAGGGAAGTGAGATTGGGGTCCCAAGCAGCAAGATGCAGACTAGGCTTCTAGCCCTCGGGGGCCAGGCAGTTCTTGGGGTTGAAGAAATGGGTCCTGACCACAGGCAAGATCTGAGGCTTGGGGCAGACCTTGGAGGTGGAAGCTCCGAGATTACTCCATTTCCTCATCCACAAAGCTTTGGTGTTGGGGTGGGGGCTACAGAGAGCAGGAGTCATTGAAGTAGAAACACTCTCTCCTCCCTACCTGACCTTTAGCCATCTCCTGCTTTGTGAAATGATAAGGGCAGAGCAGGCTGTTGTCTCGGCTTCTTAGGAGTGGGCCTCTGCCTGGCTGCTTGCTTCTGGCAGGGTCACCCTGATCCTGGTGCCCACTCTGCTTCCTTTACCACCAGGAGCTGGTGTCAGATGCCAACCAACATGTCAAATCAGCCCTGGCTTCAGTGATTATGGGCCTCTCTCCTATCTTGGGCAAGGATAACACCATTGAGCACCTCTTGCCTCTCTTCCTGGCTCAGCTGAAGGATGAGGTAAGAGCACTAGGGCTCTAAGCTCTGACAGATGGGGTAAGCTGGGCCTGGCCTAGTTCTTAAGGGAGGCAGAGCCCACATGTCTAATTATGTCGGTAAATCCTGGACCTAGTGACTTGGAAAGCATGCTGAGCATGTGTGCATGCATGCCCCAAATCCCAGGAGGGTGGAGAGATGGAGAAGGGGTTATGGTGTGACTACACCCCAGTGAGGGGTACTTTCTCTCTCCCATCCTTCCTTTCTGTATGGTGAGTGCACAAGCCCTCTGGCAATTACAAAAGCAAAGAAAAGCAGGGCCAGTGGGTGGTGTGATGGTTAAGGCACTGGCCAACCATGGTTCGAATTCCAGACCTGTTGGCTTGTTCTCTCACTCTCTATCTGTCTCTCTCTCTTTAGTGAGTGTATGTGCTCTATAACTATTTTTAAAATAATAATAATAAATAAATAAATCTTTAAAAATAAATAAAATAGGGGACCAGCAGTTGGGATGGTGGTTAAGGTTCTGGGCACTCCCACATGGCTGACCACGGTTTGAGTCCTCAACCTGGTGGCTTGCTTTCTCGCTTTCCCTCTGTCTCTGTCTCTTTGGTCAAATTAAAATGAATGAATGAATAAATAAATAAAATTAAATAATTCTTTTAAAAATAAGTAAATAAAAGCTTAGTAATTTTTATCAGTTGCTAACAGTTTCTACTATTACATATTTTTTTAATAACCCATATTTTGTTACCTAGGTAATTTATTTAAGCTGTCCTTCACAAGCAAATTTTTATAATCATGCTTTTATTGATGTAGCATGCTATAAATATAATAGTCATTTGCCTTTGAGGCTTCAATGGGAATAAATTGCCTGGTGAGTGCCCCTCAGGTTGGCTTCTGAATCCTTGTCACACCTTACCTGAGCCTTGGAGAGCATTTTGCTTTCTTGAATCCAGTTCAGCTTGAGTGTGAAGGTGAGACCGCACACACTAACGTGGTGCTGGGAGCAGAGCATTTTTCTACTCAAGTTGCACCTTTAGCAAACACCCTCATCATATGCCTGCAGCAGATCTGCCCCAGGACCGCTTCTCTTGCAAAGAAAAGCGAAGAACCCGCATGATTTTCTTGGTGTAAGATCTTCCTCTGGCTTATTTTGGAGTTTCAAATTTAGATTTATAAACTTTGTATTTTACATTTTGATTCTCACCAGGATTTACAAACTTGTAAATAAAAAGTGCCTACCTGCCTCTTTCATGGTATAATGAAACCAGTTTTTTCAAACATGTGAGGCATGTTTTCTGAGCCTTGTCTTTTCATGTGTTCAGCATACTGAGGCTTAGATGAACACCAAAGGCTTAAGGGTCATCTCCCTGGAGCTGACTAAAGGCCAGTCCTTTCTTTTTCTTTCCTTTTTTAAATTGTTTATTTAATTTAATTTATTTATTTATTTTAATTTGACCAGAAAGGGACAGAGTGAGAGAGAGTGAGAAAATGAGAAGGCAAGCTGCCAGGTCTGGTACTCGAACCACAGTCCGCCATGTGGGAGTCCAGCACCCTTACCCACCACACCACCTGCCAGCCATAAACCAGCCCTTTCTTTTGAATTAACAGAGTTTGGACACATGTGCCACTTTGCCTCAGAACCTAGCAAGATGATGAGTGTAGAGATAGGGCCTGCCCTTTTCCTGAGTGTCTTTGGCTTTAGAAAGAAATGAGTTGAGCATAAGGAAAAAAATTGTAATGGTTCTCAGATCCCTTCTTTAGCCTTTAGATTAGCTAGTAGGATATTGGTCCTCTTCTGTTTCTAAAGAGGAATCTTGTTATTTTGATAAAGAGGGACTCACCAAACAATTTTTGGGGGGCCTATTGGGGAATTCCACTTTGAGTGAGCCTATCTTGTTTGCCTAGCAGTTGCTATCACTTTTTTTTTTTTTTTTTTTTTAAGAATTGTATTCGTTACTATTTTTAAATTTGACCATAGACAGAAAGTGAGAAAGCAAGCCACCAAGTCTGGAATTTGAACTGCAGTCAGCCATGGGAGTCCAGCCCCTTAACCACCACACCACCTGCTGGTCCTGCTATTACTGGTTGGTTTGTTTGTTTAAGAATTATTTGTTTGTTCATGTAGTATTATGTAATTTGCACTCACCAGAGAAAGACACGAGGTGTAGGGAGAGTGAAAAAGCAAGCTACCAGGTCCGGTACTCGAACCATGGTTGGCCATGTGGAAGTCCAATGCCTTAACCACCAGGCCACCAGCTGCCATCCTCCCCCCATTACTCTTATTTTGCTTGCTCTATCTAAGTTCCCAAGACCGCCCCCAGATTGTATGATTTGCCAGAATAGCATTCAATACTCAATATTTACAATTTCTGCTTATTATTGTGAAGGATACAGATTAAATTAACAATGGGAAATGATGCATTATAAAAAGACTACTGAGACCAGCAGTTGGCATAGTGGCTATGTCGCTGGACTCCCATGTAGTCGACTGCTGTTCACATCCCAGACCTGGTGACTTAAAACACGCCAGGCGCGTGTGCGTGCGTGCCCAAGATCCCAAGAGGAGAATGGAGGAGAAGGGATTGCGGCGTGGCCATCCCACTTGGGGGGTGATTTCTCGCTCTTTGTCTCTCTGTCTGGCAAGTGCACACACCCTATAGCAAAAACCTCTCAAAAAAAAAAAAAAAAAAAAGACTACTTCCAGGATCTAGTTCTCTTGTGCCAGTGGAGTTACCAATAAATGGACAGCACTTAATTCTCTCTGAATTAGGTGTGACAGCATATTGCCAACACAGAAAACTCACTCAGGCCTTGATATCCAGGGATTTTACTGGATTTTTACTCTCTCTGCTGATCACACAGACATGGAGTGCCTATATGGCTGACCTAGTTTCCCTGACTACAGGCCCAACCATGTGGCCCAGTTTTCCTGGTAAATGAAGACACTCTTATGAGGCAGGGTATTCCAGAGGCTTAGAGGTTTCTCCCAGGAGCTAGTCAAGGACTTTGGTATGTGCCAAAGGTAACCCAGGCCAGTGTGTGAACTCTTTGCTGCATACGTACTTCCTTGGTTTACTGATTCATCTCGGTGCTTGCTACTTTACCCCACAGCTCCTAAGAAATGTGGAAAGGAGTAACTGGGGACTGGCAAGTGCTATGGTTAAGGCACTGTAATCCCACATGGCTGACCATGGTTCGAATTCTAGACTTGACAGATTGCTTTCTCACTTTCCCTCTCTTTGTCTCTCTCTGGTGAAATTTTTAAAAATAATAATAATTAAGAAAATTAAATAATTCCTGGGGACCAGCAGTTGGTGTAATGGCTATGTTGCTGGACTCCCATGTAGTCGATCACAGTTCGAGTCCCCGACGCAGTGGCTTAAACTCATGCTGGGTGTGCATGTGGGTGCGAGTCCAAGATCCCGAAAGGAGAATGGAGGAGAAGATATTGTGGTGTGGCTATCCCCCCTGGGAGGTGATTTCTCGCTCTCTGTCTCTCTGTCTCTCTCTGTTTTTCTGGCGAGTGCACGTACCCTGTGGCAAAAACCTCTTCTCCCCAAAAAAATAAATAATTCTTTTTAAAAAAGTGATGATTGACAGTATCTGCTCTGCAAGAACACATGATGTATATAACAAGGTCTAGTAGGACTCCGGTCACTCAACAAGAACTAATCATACTTAGGTGCCTGTTCTCATAAGGTGCTTCACGTGTATAGTGGAAGGAGAGGGTGTATATACCCACACTGGGACCACAGCTCATAGTGCTGCCTTTAGGAGGAAATGAGTCAATAGCAGTTAAAAAGTGTTTTTTTATTCCTTCCTTCCTATCAGCAGACAGGTATTGAGCACTTACTGTGGGCCAGAGTCATCTGGGTACTGGAGACATGAGGAGGAGTGAGACCTGTTCCTTGGGAGCTCAGAAACTAGCAGGAAGAGTAAAAGTCGTAGAAACAAGCAGAAACAGCTGCACTCCTTACGCCTTTGTGCATCAGACCTTGTGTCAGGCACTTGACTCTAATTGCTTCAGTCGCCCTTTGAGGCTGACTGGATATTTCCATGTTATAAGTTGATACCCAGAAAGGAGTCCTTGCCAGAGTCGGGATTGGAGTAACGTCTATGAGTCTGATTTTTCCAGGGTCTGTGTTTTTCACTGTGATTCCTGCAGGTTCATTTCAAGTGATGCTGTTACAGGATTTTAAAAGCGGCCTCACTGAGTAACCCATATTGCTTGTTCTGAGTGTGCACTTCCTGTGTTCCCTGGGCTGGGAACTGGCTTTGGGTGATAGTAGCCCCTGGGGAAGAGGTGCATTGGTGCTCTCTTGCCCTGCTCTGGGGGGTGTGTTCTCTCAGAGAACTTCCTGTCCTTTCCTCAGTGCCCTGAGGTGCGACTGAACATCATCTCCAACCTGGACTGTGTAAATGAGGTGATTGGCATTCGGCAGCTGTCCCAGTCCCTGTTACCCGCCATCGTGGAGCTGGCTGAGGACGCCAAGTGGCGAGTGCGACTGGCCATCATTGAGTACATGCCCTTGCTGGCTGGGCAGCTGGTGAGTAAGGAGGCCAGAGGCTGGACAGCCCACCCAGGGGAGGTAGGTTGCCAGGGTCTAGTCACAGTGTGTCCAGGGCTATGACAGGGCAACTGGGAGCTTGGCGCCTAGAAGAATCTGGTAACTATCTGGGAGTGAGAGAAAAGGCCAGAAGGTAGGGCCTTAAAAGATGAGTAGAAAGCTGCCTCAATAGTGCAGAGTAATGTATTGCCCAAGAGAAGCCAGGTCCCATGTGGTGGCCACGGTTCAGATTCCCAGACTGGTCAGCCTGAAGACACACTAGACGTGTGCTTGAATACTGAGGTCTAGTGGGCTCAAGGACTGAAGGAAGGGGGTTTTGGTGTGACTAGGCCCTGTGGAGAGTTCTTGTTCCTCTCTCACACGCCCTCTATCATAAGTAAAGGGGGGAAATGAGTGCGCAGTGGTTCGTTGGTGGCATAACACTCCATAATGCTGAAGCCACGGGGGAAGGTTCTGAATTTGCATCCCAAAGTCTCCCGGAGCAAGCTGGGCACATACTTGGGCCTGTGATCCTGGCTAGCTGGGAATGGGATACAGGATCAAGACCAAAAGAGAGGAGGAAAAGAAGCCTGTCAGGTGAAGTTGAGAAGCCACTGATTTCTCCAGGGCAAGTGCAGATTCTTCGGGGTATCGTTAGAAACCCTCCCTGTCCTTTGCCTTGACCCTTTACCTCCTTTTCTTCTTAAGGGTGTAGAATTCTTTGATGAAAAACTCAACTCCTTATGTATGGCCTGGCTGGTGGATCATGGTGAGTACCTCTGGCAGGTCAGCAGGAGGAGAGGGAGCTCCCACAGGGATGGACAGGTTTGCGGGGTCCTGCTGGGGTTTACGTGGCCCCATTCCCTTGCTCTTTATACCTTAAGGGAAACACAGAGTAGGTGGGACATACCAGATCATCAAGGGCTGCCTTGCAGAATGGAGCATTGGCAGACCACTGGGTTTGAATCCTACCCTCCTAGATGTCAAGCTTTCGCAGGTCACTGGCCATCTTTCCTCCCACACTCGTTCTGTGAAACCTGGGGCTTATTATTCTGGTCTCTCAGGATTGTTGTGAGGAATACTCTTCGCACTTAGAATGTTTAAAAATAAGTTAACATTAGTCTGTCAGGCATTGTTTGAAATAGTAAGGACTAAATAAGTTGCTTGGGCAATCTGTTCTCTGAACCTCAGTTTGCCCATTTGTAAAACGTATGGAACCAACATAATGACCCTGTTTTACTCTTCAACTCAAGTCTGTTGGCTCCCATGTGGCTGAGAACTGAGGGCCTGTCCAATAAGCAGGGCCCCAGTGTGACTGCTGGGCCCCACCCATGTCAGTTTGCACCTCTGGAATCACTTCCCCGTACCTCATCCTCCTGCAGTCTATGCCATCCGCGAGGCCGCCACCAGCAACCTGAAGAAGCTGGTAGAGAAGTTCGGGAAAGAGCGTGCACATGCCACT